AAAAAAAAAAAAAAAAAAAAAAACTAATGACAATGTTTTCCCAATTTAATCCGTTACATTAACATTGAATGTATTGTGATTTATGTTTGATAACTACAAATACTCGTGACCTTATAATTCAAATTTTTTGTTTTCATTTTGTTATTATTGCAAGAAAATTTTAAGAAATGCATTAATATATTGTAAAGCAAAAGGGATTTTGCCTTAGGTAGCGGTCCAAACATGGCTTATCCCATATTGGAGCACAATGTAGTTTACACTTAAATAATTAGCTTTTGATAAATTAAGCAGGGAACCAATTCCAAACTACCAATGAATTTCAATGGTAATTCGATTTCGCCAAATTTGATGTCAAATTCTACGTTGGTACCCTCTTTTCCAATGCCTCGCTATCATCGTGCAGATAAAGAGGTAAAGTGATTCCCTTTAAACTTCATCTTATTACCCACACTTATTTGTTTTAAAGTTAAATAAAATAATTTTGATAAATTATTTTTAAATCGTTAAATGCGTGTGTATTATCTATATATCCAACACATGTGTTTTTTTTATTTTTTATTATTGAAAAGGGTAAAATTTGATTTTCTAATTAATGGTATAAGCTATATCTAGATCCTATTATTATTTTTTTCCCTAAAAGAATCATTGAATTCAAATGATCCTTAACATATATAATGTTGAAGGTTTATCTTTTTTTTTTTGTTTTTTCTTCATGGATGAGCAGGAAGAGCAAAAACTTCGATTATTCTGGGAGAAGCAATTGTTCAATATTCAAGTTGCTGAAGGTTCCTCCCATCTTCAACAAATGATTCTGATAAAACTATATTTATCTTTCGATCCCCTTGAGAAATATTAATGACATATCCTTTGAAACATATTTTTTAACGTCTTTCGTATATTAGTTCATTATCTAAAATGTCAACATTCTTTAAACAATAATTTATTTATGATGTAACTAATTGATTTATTTGAAATATAAACTAATAAAAATATATTTTAAGCATTTCTTTTTATCCCTTTGTATTTAAACGAAATCATGATTTAATGATATTTGTATTTTCCTATGATGCAATTGTCAGCATTTAAGAGCCAGCAACAGTTGCCGCTAGCTCGAATTCGAAGGATCATGAAAACAGACCCAGAAGTGCAGGTTTATAATTTTGCTTCTACCTCGTACTCTCTTTTTACTTGTAAAGTTTAGGGTTTAGGGTTTACAAGTTTGTTTTTATACCAAATTTCAAATTTCATATATATTTTTGTTAGTTTTTCTTCTATTGATTACTTTTTAAATTTGATTGATTTGTATTAATTCGTATTTTCCACGAAATTGAATATCAGATTTCCTTGACTAAACTTTTAATTAAATTAAAATAATAACACATAGATGGGCAATGATCAATTCAAAATAGTGTTTAGTTGCTTCATTCACAGCCAAAGTAACTATGAGACGTTTTTTGACCAGGATTTCATTAACTAGGTGAAATTAATATTGCTTCTAAAAAATCACGTGTTAGTTGTTATTTATTTATTTATTTTAGAGTTTAACAAGATGCATTGTAGTGTACAAGATTTTACACAATTAATCAATAAAAAATAATGATCTGTGTGATTTTTTTAGAAAATTAATTTAAATTTTTAACTTATTTATTATTTATGATGAATTGTAATTGAATGATTGTATAAAACAGTTTTATGCATTTTGTATATCACCATTAAACTCTTTTTTATTAAACAAAAAAGTTGTAATAATTTTATATGTCTGAGAAAACATGTGTAGGTTACTACTGATGATGAAATGTGTTTGTAAGCAGATGATCAGTGCTGAAACTCCAATACTTATGTCAAAAGCATGTGAGATTTTCATTCAGGAGCTCACTTATCGTGCTTGGATGCGTGCTGAAGAGAGCAATAACCAAACTGTGCAACCTTGTGATGTTGCCAAAGCCATTGTGCAAACTAATGCCATGAATTTCCTCACTGAGATTGTTCCAAATGAACTCCTCCATTTCTGTGCTCTTGATGCCCAGGTCTCTAATTCTTTTTCATTTTCTTTCATTCGTATTTCTTAATAAATTTAAAACAATAATAAATAATAGGTTAGAAAATACGTTACTTGTGAAAAATTATTATATTATTCAAGACTATGTGGTTTCAACCAATGTCCACACGACACATTATATATTAACTCTTTTGCGTAAATTGTAAAATATAATTTATGATTCAATATTTTTTACTTTCCTGTTTAGGAAGTTAAATTAACATTGGTTGTTTGTTATATTAGTTGCCATTTACTATAACTATTACTAAGAGATAAATAGGCCTCAAATTTTCCTCTATAACTATAAGCATGAGATTAAGTTGGGTGGGAGATTTGGTGTTATTGTGATTTAGATTATTTGATAAAACATGCTCTAGCTAATTGTGTGCTTGTGATAAAAATGACCCTGTAAAGATAAATTATCCCGAGGTATACAAGATCCTCTTTTGTTTTATTAAGATTTGGAAAATGTGTAATTGAGAGTTATGGTATATGCTTATGATGGCAGGAAGAGAATGCTGGAAACATTGCAGAAGGAAATCAAGCTGCCATGCCTTACACTGCTGGTTTTATGGGAAATCCTATGATGAATATGGGCAATGTAAGTGTGAAGTAATTTGGATTTAATTTTAAACATATATGACATAGCCCTGTGTCATATGTTAAATTTAGATCAATACGAAAAAAATGTTATTCTTGTGAATGTGTTGACTAATTTAGTTAAATTAATGGAATCAATCTCCTTTTATTTACTTTGTAGGACTTGGAGGCAATAAACCAAGTGATTCCTCAACCCAACATGATGCAGCCATCCTATATGCCTTCACAACAATTGCCATACAACTTTCATCCCAAGGTAAGAGGGACATTGTTATAATACTATATCATGGACCTAGTGCTTCTTGCCCAGAGAAAAATAAAAAACTTTTTATTTTCCTTTTTCCACACGTTTCTGTCAATGTTATGATCCATGTTTTGTGATATTGCAGTGAACATAGGGATGCATGTACCGGGGTGAACGAAGTCATGGTGTGGAGCAACTGTTTACCTCAATTACTATAAAATAATACCACACCCCTTTCCATTTTTCTGTTTTGAATTTTGGGAAACTTTAGCCCGTTCAAATAATTGGACACCTTTTTGTTTCAACATTCTATATCTTATGTGTCCAACAACCACCCTTGTGGAATGGTTACATTAAATTTTAATTTTTAATATGGGTTATAACTATTAAGCGCATGTTTGCATATATGTTGCGTTTTCTCAGACATAGATTACAGAAACAGTTACTAGTTACTTTTAATGCGTTATGACATGAAAATATGAGAAAACATGAAGTAATGATAAGATATTAAACATACACTAACATTTGCATAATTCATGTTATCATAATGCAATTTATAAATTATGATGCACGAAACTAGACCTTTAGGGATTTTAACTTAAGTATATTATGCATTAAATTCTATACAATTTAGACAAAAGCACTAGTTATAGAAAAGGATTCTCCTTGAGTTGTTAGCAAAGTAATGTTGCTTTTGTCTGAGTTTGGTTATTGGCTTATGAACTTTTCATGGTTTGCTCTACTATGTATACTACAATTTTAAAGTGAACATTTGTGGTAGTTGCATTTGCTCTATTATCTTCACTCATTGTGCCTAAAATTAAACTTTATATTATTCTCAGAAAATTCATGTAAGGCACGTAAGGTCCAAGATAGCATTTCACCATTTTAAAATAAGAAAAAGATAATTCACATTTGTGGTAGGTATATTGTTCAACTAACCCAAATGAAAAACCTCTTCTCTACCCTTATTACCTATTTAGGTACTTGATTATTCACTCCACGAGAATTATTTGTTGTCTGTTCTATTTCTGGTTTTTGAGACGCTAAATAATTCTGCAACAAAAATGTATTAGGAAGTTGTCTGACATGTTTATAACTTTGACTTCCGTTGTAAATTTATAATTTTGTTGTGTTCTTTTAAGGCTTATGTATATTTTCAGTTTTTGTAAAATGAATAAGTTATTTTCATCCTGTAATTTTTTTATTTTTGTTTTCATCATCTCAAAGTTGGAACTATTGTTTTAATCTTTCCATTATCTCAAATTTAAAATTATTGTTTTAATCTTTAATATTATGTAATTGTTTTTAATTATTTATTTGTTTGTTAAAATATCAAGTGACTTTCTCATGTGTTGCTTATAACTATTAGTTATACCATCAACGCATGACATTAATATCTCTAAATTAATTTTATAAATTATAAAATAAATATTATATATCTATTTTAAAATGATAGTTAAGACTTAAAAAATAGTGACTTTTAGATTTTAAAAAGATGAATATAAAAAATATATTTTACAGAGCCAAAATTATAATTTGATGATTTTACAATAATAAAAAAAACAATACATATAAATTTTAGATAAATGAAAAATAACGGAAATTTTCGGTAGAGATAGCAAGTGTAGCAAGACAATATTGTGCGTGTTCACTGTGCACTGTGCACAGACTGAACCCACTAAAGCAACAAGACTGAAGTAGTCTGCGTCTCCATTATCTATCACCAAATCACACTAACATTTATTAACACCCAAAATTCTATCACCAAATTACATTACATTTTCAATTTTTCTTAACTCAATCAAATCCTCCACAATAGAAATCCCAGTCGCAAACATACGCTCACACATACTGAGCAGCACAAGGTTGAAGTAATTATTAATTAAATTAAATAAATTACTTGCGATAGATAGAAAAATAAAGACAAAATCTGATAGAATACAAATTAAAAGGGCCTTTAATTTTTATTTTTTTTATACTAAAAATAGAGTATTTTCATAAAAATAAACTCTCAAAAATATTTTTAAACTTGAGTTTAAACAAATTTTAAGAGTCAGACCAACAAAATGCATTTAATTTATGCGTCACCAATCACTTGGTAATGGGATCAATATTATATAAGGTTGAAAATCTTATTTAAACTATAAATTTACAATTAGATCCTTAATTTTCACAAATTTAAAATCCTATCAACATACTATCCGTGTGGATGGTTTACTCTTAAATTCACAGTCAACATCGTAAGAATATCCAAATAATCCAAAAACCACTTAATAGAGTGCACATTGTGATGCATATGACGGTATAATGAGCAGAGCTCAGTCGGTGTCTTCTATTTTGCCCAGAGAAAATGAATATTTACAAAAGGTGGTATATTACGGCAACTTTACTATATGTAGTCTGAATCAGCATCTCTCCGGAAATGTTGCAAATCTGGATGAGCGTCATATCCTGGCCTCCTAGGATTCCTACAAGACAAGAGTTAGAAACAGTGTATATTTCATGTTAAATATGATAACTCCTCCACCTTGCAGTCTAAGACAACAATGCTATGTTATTGTTTCAATAAACTAAGAAATAAACACTAACAATCAATTAAGTTTCTTTCGTAAATTAAAATTAGTGTATATACAAGCTAAAATCAGGTTTTAGAGAAATTGAATGACAAGTTCTAAAAATTAACTTAAACATAAATCGATTTTAATTCACGGAAGAAAATCAATTCATGTTATCTTATTTTGTTTTCATATGTGTACTTATTACCAAGTTTAGAATCTAAACCGAGTATGTATGGAATACATGATGTGGTCCACCATACCTTGCAAATCTGTTGGGTTCAAAACCAGGAACACCAGGAGGTCCATAGGGATCAAATCGCACACCCGGAGGAACACCCCTATTAACATAAGCTTAAAAATTAGCCACAGCCACAGGTATAAGATACATGGAAGTCAAAGGAAAACGGCACCCTTAAGGCGCTAGGCGCATTTAACCCAGAGGAGAGAGGCACCAAAACCACACTGATATTACTCTAATAATAAAGAGACAAAAAAAAAACTTCCAACCCCTCCAGAGGAAAGACTAACAGCAGAAATTTGTTGGTGATGAAAATACACTATAAAATCAACAAATAATTGTTATAAATGATCATAGAAACAGCAGAATCATGTAAAGAGTGAAATGAACTGTTGAATGAAAAAAAAAGGGTAATTATTAGCTTTGACGATGATTGAATTTGACTAGGCAGTGGGTGACGCTTCTCACATTTATTGTGCAACTTCAATAGTTTTATTATACATAAAACTATAAAAGCTGATGCTTTTCATGGGTTGGGGCCTGTCAAGCTCGTTGTCCACTAGTCAGGCTCTCACAGAAAACACAATGTCATGGTGCGAGGGATGTACACCTCAGTGAAGTGACAACAACACAAAGAACAAGAAGTTGGAACCTTCCCTTCCCTCACCTAGCACCTAAGGCATGCCTTGTAGGTTGCAATGCCTTTAACTACACTGATCAGTCAGAGGAATAATAAAAAGAGATGTAAACAACTTACTGCAATCCTCCAGGAAAAGCAGGATCTCCACCAATACCACCAAACCAGCGAGGGTCATTAGGCCCTGTACAAGTGTTGAACTCAGCATCGGCAATTATGGTTATGCAAAAATATTATACAAGATTTCATAAAACTAAATCAGAATACGTTAAACTTACCTACAAGCATGCTCCCACCAATACCATGACCACTCCTGAAATCAAGTGAGGTAAGTTGAAAAGGATACAAGAATCGGAAAGGAAAAAAAAGGGGAAATAGCAATTGTCTTAAGATATTGAAAAAGTACTGCAGATAAGAATACCTTGAAGGAAGCACTCCAGCTGGAGGCCCAGGAACAAGATCACTACCAGAACCCATGGGCACTGAAGGAAAAATAATTCTGTACAAAAGCAAAACAAAACATTAAGAACTCAATTAATTAGTACAAAAGCATGTAGTGGTGATAACATTAAAAAGAATGATCATAAAGACAGCATGGCATATAGACAAATGCTGGTTCCATTTAAGCTAATGAGTATGGCAGTAAAAATCAGCAAAAAATGTATGCCTAGAGAATAAGAAACAGTAAATTATTCAGTCTATTGATCTAATTTAGTCCAGTAAAGCAATCAACTCTTCTAGATAGGAACTAGAATTTTATTAAATTGGTGGATTCATGGTATGTTGTGGGGACGTTGTTCAGAGTTTATGCAAATTACCATGACATCTCAACAATTAGACACCACAGATACTAGTATGACATCTCAACAATTATTATTATGGTCCATTTCAAATTTCTGCCCCTGTGCAGTGGGTATATAAACTACAGCTGCCACCCCATGCTTGCATGCACCTAATCTTCCATGTGCCCCAATTAGGGATGGGAATAGGTCAGGTCAGGTTTTAAATATATAGACCGAGTCTGTTCTGCAAAATTAAATCTTAAGCCTAAACTATTATTTATCATAGGTTTTTTTTATAAGCTTGGCTTGGCCTTTTAAAAGCCTAATCTGACCTATTAGTCTATTTAAAAACTTATTTAAATTATTAATGTTAAGTAGACCGACCAATAAACTTAAATTTTAAAATCAACAAAATTATTGTTAAAATATAGTTTACTCAATATTTTTAAAATTTAAATTTTAAAATAAATATAGGAGAAAAATTGAATCATTTTTTATTGAAAGAACAATTCATGTGTAATCATGTATATTAATGTATACTCATGCATAGGTCGTAAATTTATAAATCTATAATAAAAAAAATAATTGTATAAAAAATATTTTAAATATTGATAATTTATTTTTGTTTTACAAATTTATTTGTTTGTTTATATTTTTAATAATATATATATATATATATCAATTTTTTATTATATTATATAAATAAATAGGTTGATCAATTAGGCCTAATAGACTTTTTTATAAGCCTAAACCTGACATTTTTATATAAGTAACTTTTTTAAAAGTCTAAACCCGACCTTTTTATTAAACGGGTCAGGTCAAATCAGACTCTAGAGAGGTCAGGCCATAGGTCCCTGTTTAAGGCCCAGCCTATTCCCATCCCTAGTCCCAACCATGGTTATCACGTATCAAACTCGTGAAATAACTCAAAATTGAGTTTGCTTTCAGGCCCCAAAACACCAGTTCACTCAAGACTAGACTTGGGTGAACTCGGATAGGCTCCAGAAAATCCCATACATTTGCAGCTGCATGCAAGAGTCAACTAGGTTAGTCAAGGTGCAGACATAAACACTAAAAAGGCCAAAAATGACGCCATTTGAGCTAATTTGTCGTTATTCTGTCTCTCTTCCCTGTCATTTCTCCTTTTCCCCTGTTCCTTCTATGTGTTTGCTACAGACTTTCCTCCAACCAGCCCAACATCTCAATTCTCAACCAAATTCCACCCAGCCTCTTTCACAAGCTCTGACTTGCAGATCTACCTCCTTCACCTGTGAGCTGTGACTTCCAAGTTCCAAGTAGATCTGAACTTGTGCAAGCTACAACTTTCGACCACAAATACAAGTTGCAACCCCAGTGATTTGCTTCGTTGCTTTTCTGCGTGAACATGGTGTCACTGTTCTTGTCTTTCTAGAGGGAGGGGGAGGGGTCTGAACCCCGCATGAACAAGGAGCTGAGACTGCCTTTTTTTGTCTGAATTTGAGCGATGCTCATATTATTCCAATTTTGTTTGTCCAAACTAATAAAAAATGGTATTAAATTTTGTTTGGATTAATTAGGTTTTCTTTAATTTTAAATATTAGGTAAACTCTTACAAGTTCACAAGTTTGGACTCTCCACAAGTTTGCATAACTCAGACAACTTTGATCCAACTAAAGAAAACCCATTTTGGCCATAAAAATATCAGGTTAACCTATCCTTCCTCCAGGGATTGAAAGTAGATGACTACATTCCAGTAGTGGCTATTTTGGTCGTGGTCGCAGGGAGGCACACAGTTAGGGGAGTCTTGTAATGGAATGGTTGGCTCTATGGAAGTCCAAAGCCCCATAGGAAGGCACTCTGGGAAGAAGACAGCAGCATTTGGAGTCAATTTCTTTATTTTCTGCCTCAAGGACAAGGCAACTTCTCAGTATGTTGCTATTGACAGGAACTTGGAATGGATTCAACTAGGCTAGCTGCCACTAAAGCTAGACCCAGATGCCCCCTCCCCCTCTCCCCTTACAAGTTTATTTTGGCAGGCCTTTGATGACTTAGGAGGGAACAGCAAGGAATGGCTTGAATGAAGAATTAAGAGTTTAGTTAATTAGAGGTGAGAAAAAAACAGATTGGATGAATTTGTCAAAATAGAGTTCAAACATCCTCAGGTGTTGTTTTCTTGGTGGTTTGCAGCAGCAGCGGGGGAATCATGTGTATTTTCTATTTCAGCTTATGTTGGAGTTAAAGGGAATTCTTTAGGTGAGAACATTGCTATTTCATTTGTCTATTGATCTAATTTTGTTCTGTAATACAATCTCCTTTCTAATACAAACTTGGAGAAGTTTTCAAACCTTATCTATTGTAAATAAAGAGCTTTTTCCAATAGAGAAGCTCTCAAAAGTTTGAATCCAGACAGGTTCATAGCCATATACAAATCAGAAGCCTATCAGGAACATTTCAAGCCATCCTTGACTTGATAGGATCAGAGGAAACAATCATGTATAGAACATTATAATCGAAGTCACACATAAAGTCACATACATAAACTGTCCTGTCCACCAACACTCCCACAACCCATCAATAAGCACATGAATAACAGTACACACACAACTTTCATAATATTCAAGCATGGATCAATGAACCTTAATGCTCAAGTCAAGATAACCAACAGTAAGTGTGTAAAATAAAAAAATTGAAAATCAATCCATGAGACACTGTCAAAAATCACTATATGGTGTACGCAACACAGCAATATGAAACTCTTACCCTGGACCAGCATGTTTACCAAATCCAGAAACAGGCTCGGGAATTTCTTGTCTAGCTCGGTCACTTGTTTCTGAGCTGTATAGAAAACAATGAGACAATTTCTCAAAGAGGATCCTAGTTCATAAAACAATACAGCATAAAACCTTCATATAAGGGCAATGCCACAGTTGTCCAACTCAAAAGCCCAAAATTAAAATATATTTAAGGGCCAGATTTTCTCACATGACATTTTTATAATATGAAAATCAGGAAACTGCACGCAGATCCTTCAAAATCTTTAATCACACTAAAACTAGTTCATATTTCGTACCAATAACATAGTTAGAAAAAAAAAATACTCATAAAGCTAAAACTACTTATCTACAAAAGCCATGTGAGATTTAATTTTCGTCCACTATGAGTTATACACTACCAATAATCATGAATTTTGACATAATAGAGCGATAGTGTCAAAAGCTTTAAACTGATAATTCTCAACCACTATCAAGCTTAAAAGTTTTAAACTCTTGTAAATATATAATGATGGTCCAATTCAAAAAACTTAAAAAATTTCCTGCTAAAGAGTTATATAAGATTTGCATATTAAAAAAGGACAGACACACAATTCAAAAAATCCAAATTCACCTTCTACTTGATGAGGCGGTTTTGGCAGAACCATCTAATTTAGACAAGATATCCCCATCTATTTTCTTCACAAGCTTATCCAAATTCTTGAAGTGATGAGAATAATTGCTGCCCCCATCCTCTCCAGCATAGTCCCCAACACTGCATATAAAAAATCACACGAAAACCCCATTTCAAAGCGAGGACGCAATGCAACAGAAGAAAAACCAAGTTGCGAAACTCTACAGTTTTCCATGCACCACATACTAAAACAAAATCCAGAAAAGAATGAATTACACAATCTCAAGGCTTAAAGGCTCGGAAGACCCTTGAGACAAAGCATGAACGAGCAACTTGTCGTTCATGACGAGGCACTTGACAAGCACTTTCTCCGAGGCCTTTTCAGGGTTGGCGTAAACGAAGGCGTACTCGTCGTTTAGCTCGTTCCAGTGATCAATGGGAACCTCCTCGTCTACACAGAAAACGCAGCGCATAGAGAAACATGGAAAATTAGAAGAATAAAAGGGAAAGGGTTATTCATAGTTTGTTAAATGATTACCATTGGAGAGGTGAGAAAGGGCATCGTCGGAGAGGGCCTGAGGACCCGTGGCGGTGAGGACATAGCCAGAGATGAGGAAGGAGGAGTGAAGGGCAAAGGCGATTTTATCGTTTTGGTTGCGGAAGGTTGGCCTCGCCGCCCTCATCAACGCCACCACCGACTTTTCAGTGGCCATCGTGATTCCTCAGCTTTGGATTTTCAAAAAGGAAGAAGAAACATAAAGGACTTGCAGTTGCAGCAGTTACCAATTAAGGGTTTTTCTCTTTCTTCCTGAATACCAATTAGCCTATAGTTTCTTGAATATGATAATGTATACTTGTATTTAATGCACCTTATTAATATTAATATATAATATATATTAACAACATCAATTTTTAATATTGATCCAAGAATAGCTCCAACGCCAACAAAATGTACTTTAGTTTTTAAAAATTGACGCAGGGAGAAAAAGGCCCAAATAAAGAGAGTGGCCCAAACAACTTGGTGGACGGGACGGTAGTATTTTCCCTCTGTATTTTTATACGTTGGCTACTAATTTTTTTACTCATATTTTAATTTATTTTTTTAACGGTATTTTTATAAATATCCATGCAATACATGAGATATACGAGAACGGTTTCAAAATTTTGAAAATAGAAATAAATTCAAATAAATAAATGATACATGAAAAATTATCTCAAACATAATTATTTATTTTTTAAACTTTAAATTTACTAGTAGATAATTATATTTGTGGTAATTATTACGTCATGTATAAATCATTTGTTTTTTAAACTTTATTTATTTTTTAATTTAAATTTTTAAATAAATTAGTAAACGTTTAATATATTGCATCAATATTTTTATTCAATATAAAAATCAAATTATGAGACAAAAATATCTATATTAATTTTTATATTCTTCAAAAGTTTGATTTTCATCATTATATTTTTTTTTTTCACTATGTATCATACTTCTAAGAAATTTAAGCTCTTAATAACGTTTTATTTTACCAGGTGAATTTTGATTTCCATTTTAAATTCATTTTTTAATTTATTTTTTAAACTTTAAATTTACTAGTAGATAATTATATTTGTGGTAATTATTACGTCATGTATAAATCATTTGTTTTTTAAACTTTATTTATTTTTTAATTTAAATATTTAAATATATTAGTAAAATTTTAATATATTGCATCAATATTTTTATTCAATATAAAAATTTAATTATGAGACAAAAATATCTATATTAATTTTTATATTCTTTAAAATTTTGATTTTCATCATTATATTTTTTTTCCGCTATGTATCATACTTCTAAGAAATTTACCAGGTGAATTTTGATTTCCAATTTAAATTAAATTTAAATTTATTTTTTTAATTTTAGCAATTTCATAGAATATCTTAATTTTAAAATTTATGATCAATTTGAAATCACGTGACGTTAAATAATTATCTTTCATATATGGTACATGTGGAGAGGTTTTTTTTGTTGAAATGAAATTTATTACTTATTTATTTATATTATTTTAGGATTCTGAATAAAAAAATATTATTTTAGGATGTATCTTTATACATCATGCACATATATTTTATCGATAAGGACCGTGGTACATGATAAAGTGGTGTGGATTTAATCCAATCTATTTTCAATGTCATTTCTCTCTAAAATCTTATATCGTCCCCTCTTGCACAAAAGAAAATTTGATCTCATTTATATGTCTATATTATAAATTAGAGAAACTAATAATAGTAATATTTTTTTCTAAATTACACATTTGATCTCTTTATTTTTGTCAATTTATAATTTTAATCTTTTATTTTAAAATAAAAATATTTAATTTTCTTATATATAAAAATACAAAATTTTGATTATATTATAAATTTAATATTTATTAGTCGTTAAATTTTAACATTGTTTAATAATTTGTCATCATTTAAATGAAATAATATTTTATGATGTAACATATAGAGATAAAAATTAAAAAATAACATACAAAAATTCTTTGTGTGTATCTATTTTTACAAATGATTAATATTTATTTATTAATAAATTTTATTTACATATATTTTTAAATTTTTTTATTTTCAAATATCATTTTATTAAATGTCGCATTATTTAAATATATGTAAATGTTATAATTTAACGATTTATAGATATTAATTTGATGAGAAACCCAAATTTCGGATTTTTAAAAAAATTAGAGAAATTATATATTTATATTTTGAAATAAAGAGACCAAAATTGCATATTGACAAAAACGAATATACCAAAAGTACAATTTAAGCTATTTTTTTCTAGAAGTAATTCTAGTTGTGACCTTATATTTAAGTTTAAAATAAAATTTAAGTTTTGTAACAATATGACACGTTACTACACTTAACACTTTATAACTACTATGCAACAATAAACACAAAGAATTTACTGACATAGGGTTGTCATGCAACAATACCTGGATATCCACACAACAAATATATATATAGGGTGCAAAAACATTAAACAATTTCTACTAATTTTGACTTTAAAACATAAATTCTTTTATGGGGTTACAACAAACCTTGTGGATATATACAATATACATCTAGTATGCAAGTACTAAAAAGCATAAAATCCTAACATCGATCAAGTGTCTCTATATACATGTTGTATCAAAACAATTCAACAAAAAACCAAAAAAGTCATCCCCAAGATGGACACTTACCAAGCATGCCCTTCAATCTAATCCTACTCTATTTTTATAACAAGTATGATCACAATAGTTTAACTACCACTAGCATACAATACACATTCTACGTCGGTTATTTTAGGGGTTTTACGTCAGAAAAACTTTCGACGTTGAAGCGGGAGACGTAAATTTACGTCGAGCGCGAAAATTGACGTAAATTTACGTCGGACATGCTAAGGTCCAACGTAAAAAAGTCAAAAAAATTAAAATAAATAAAAAATGAGTGCAAGCAGAACGGCCACGGGCCTTTCTGCTTGGAGAACGGCCCGTTGTCCAAGCAAAACGACCCGTTTTCCATGGAGAACGGGTCGTTCTGCATGTGGAAAACGGGCCGTTCTGCATGGAGAACGGGCCTTTCTCCAAGCAGAACGGGCCGTTCTCCAAGCAAAACGACCCGTTCTGCTTGATAGACCCAGGAGTGGGTTCTCCAAACCCGGATTTGGTCACTTCCTTCTCCAGCTTCAAAAACTCGAAATGCAACGCAAACATTACCTTCCTATTCCCGTGAACACACTCAGTAGAAGATGCTACCTCATAGAACCTCCCAGAAAAGCCCATGACCAACGCAACCGTCCGAAGAAGAAAAACATCATCGCACATTCATCCGACACTCTTCTACTTCTTTTACTGCTCTACTAGTTTATGTTGACGATATAGTTCTTACTGGTGATAGCATACAGGATATTGTTGCTGTTAAGAAATTTTTACATCATGAATTCAGAATCAAAGATTTGGGAAACCTCAAATTTTTTCTTGGTTTTGAAGTTGCTAGATCACAGCAGGGTCTTATTCTGAACCAGAGAAAATATTGTTTGGACATCTTGGCCGAATTTGGTTTCACCGGTTGCAAGCCTGCCAACTCCCCTTCGAATCCTACTGTTAAACTCAAGGATGATGAAGGTGATCTTGTTCAAGATCCTACTGCTTACAGGAGATTAATTGGTAAACTGCAGTATTTAACAAACACTCGTCCTGACATTTCCTTTGCTGTTCAGCAAGTTAGTCAGTTCATGTCCAAGCCAAGATACTCTCATCTAAATGCTGCGTTCAGGATCTTGAAATATCTCAAAGGATGTCCCGGCTTAGGTCTTTTCTATCCTTCTGCTAATCCTCACAGAATTCAGGCCTTTTCTGATTCAGATTGGGCTACTTGCTGTATCACTAGAAAATCCACTACTGGTTATTGTGTCTTCTATGGTAATTGTCTTATCTCCTGGAAATCCAAGAAGCAATCCACAGTTTCTAGGAGCTCTACTGAAGCTGAATATAGAGCTTTAGCTTCTGTTGCTTGTGAACTGCAGTGGTTAAAGTATGTTGCTGATGACTTGTGTCTCCAAATTCCACTCCCATTTCCTACTTTTTGTGATAATCAGTCTGCCATTCAGCTGGCTAAGAATCCATCTTTCCATGAACGAACCAAACACATTGAGGTGGATTGTCATCTTATTCGTGCTAAGATTCTTGATGGGCTCATTGTTCTTTCTCATGTTCCTTCGAAGCATCAATTGGCAGACATGTTCACTAAGTCACTTTATCCCGGGCCTTTCAATGTTAATTTGTCTAAGATGGGCTTGCTGAATATTCACCACCCATCTTAAGGGAGGGTGTGAGAAATACGTTTCTACGTTTCTGTTAGGATTCCCAACATTAGCTGGCAAGATTGTTTTTGCCTTACTGTCAATTCCGTTATCCTTGCTACGTTGGCCAGTTTGTTAGGATGGTTAACTATTCTCTTATTTTTTCATTTTGAATTGTTTTATGCTGTATATATATTCAGCATTCCTGTACCTTACGTTTTGTGTCAGGAATAATAAGGATTGAAGCATTTCTCTGTCAACTTGAGCCTCACCAATTTGTTCATGTAAGTCACTAGTAATTTGAACCGCATGCAATTGTATTTTATCTTGACTTACCGTAGTTGATAAACTCATGTCTCTAAATTTTTCTATGCAATTCAATGATGATTCTAATGATGCTGTGCAAATAGTTGATCAACCTACTAGAATTTCAACTAGACCTAGGAAACCACCTGCTTACTTGTCTGATTATGATTGTCCAACTCTTTCTTCTGCTAATACTTCCTGTTGTACTCCTTATCCTTTGCATTCATATTTGTCATATTCCAATTGTTCTGACTCTCACACTGCCTTTTGCATGTCTTTATCTGCCACCATCGAGCCTACTTCCTTTAAAGAGGCTTGTAAACATGATCATTGGCAGCAGGCTATGCTTGCGGAAATTCAGGCTCTTGAGAGGAATAAAACTTGGTCATTGGTCAGATTGCCGCCGAAGAAGAGGGTTGTTGGGTGCAAATGGGTCTACAAGACTAAACTGAATGCAGATGGGTCCATAGAAAGACATAAGGCACGACTTGTTGCCAAAGGGTTTACACAAACTGAAGGCATGGATTTTTTTGAAACTTTCTCACCTGTTGTGAAGTTAACAACGGTCAGATTCCTTCTTTCAGTTGCAGTTTCTCACAACTGGTTTCTACACCAACTTGATGTTGATAATGCTTTTTTGCATGGTGATTTAGATGTCGAGGTTTATATGAAACCTCCCCCGGGATTGATTCTTCCTGAACCTCATTTGGTTTGTAAATTGCACAAGTCTCTCTATGGACTCAGACAAGCTTCTCGGCAGTGGAATTCTAAGCTCACCTCTGCCTTAATCTCCTATGGTTTCTCTCAGAGTCCTGCTGATCACTCCCTTTTCATCCGACACTCTTCTACTTCTTTTACTGCTCTACTAGTTTATGTTGACGATATAGTTCTTACTGGTGATAGCATACAGGATATTGTTGCTGTTAAGAAATTTTTACATCATGAATTCAGAATCAAAGATTTGGGAAACCTCAAATTTTTTCTTGGTTTTGAAGTTGCTAGATCACAGCAAGGTCTTATTCTGAACCAGAGAAAATATTGTTTGGACATCTTGGCCGAATTTGGTTTCACTGGTTGCAAGCCTGCCAACTCCCCTTCGAATCCTACTGTTAAACTCAAGGATGATGGGAGGTCCGACATAAATAATTTAACTAAAATTACGAAACATGACACCGCGTTTTTATTACGTTAGGTGTTTGTATGTCTGACGTAAAATGGGTGACGTAATATCCTAATTTTCCACTAGTGTACATGAAAAGTAAGGATAAGTTTGTGAAAGAAAAATTATATCAATCAGATAAAAAAATAAATAATTTCAAGTAAGATATTCAACTTAAACAACAAAATAACATTACATCTCTAAAGCATAGCAATAATTTTATAAACACAACTAAACAATGTAAACAACTAGTAACAACTAATCAATTAGGCAACTCAAATAATGAAAAATAATTGATGTGTTGTCATGCATAACAACTTATAGAGATGTCCTACAATTAGATGAGTAATTTGAGTAACTTAACCATATCAAACCATATTGACTAGTATGAAAACCAAAAACAATGACTAGTAAGAAAATTAACATCAACAACTAACATTGTGATGACCAAAAAACAATAATTTGCATGATGATCTTAATTGATTTCTTAAATTTTATCACTTACACTAGAAAAATATAGTATTACTATCAACATAACATCACTTATAACAACCTATATCATATAATCATATACCATTAAAGTAGTAAAACACACAATGGAACAATTTTTTACCAAGAAGCACAAATAAAACAATTTATACTAAAATTTTCTTTTGGTAAATAATAGTAATTTCAATTATTGATGTTACAGGTGAGGTAATTTATGTATTCAAATCCTCTTGAAATCACTTTTATCATTTTTAGAGAGCACCACAAAAAGAGTTTTTACTTTTTAAAAAATTTGAGTGTTAAGAATGTTAATTTTTTATGTTTGGTTTGTTATTTTCTAAAAAAATTATCTTTTGGAAATAATTTTTGTGTAAGTTTTTCACATAGTTTTTCTCTTAATGGAATGTGAGAAACTAACTTTCTTGAAATAAAAAAATTAATAAAATATAATGTTATACTTATTTATTTATTTAATATAATAATCTTTTTTTCATTTTAAGTAATATTTATAAATATTTTAAAAAATATTTATGACCAAACAGACTTTCATAATTTTTAAAAATCATGACTCTTAAAAATTATGATTCGTTGTAATTTTCATGCATCATAAATCAAACATCACATTATTGTCATGTTACCAATAATGTATCACGTTTTTTTTATATTAACTGAAATTGTATGTTAATTAAATTTAAAACTAAAATGATTTAATTGAAAAAGAAACCAAAAACATTCTTAAGTCTAATTTCAATCATCACCCTCTCTCAACTATTGATGTTAGGAGTGAGGTGAATTCGTCACAAGTATAAGTGAGGATTATAACCCAGTTCCAACAAATTGAGTTCTTTTTCTTTGTCGACCGAAATAATTATCGAAAACAAATAAAAAATATTTTTTTCTTTTTTACGTTTACAGATGTGGCAATAATTTGAAACTCAATTTTATAATTAATTCCTTAAACCTAACTTTAAATGAGTCATTTGAACTAAAGATAAATCTTGATAATTAAATGAATAAAATTCATTGTACATAGTTTGACTGATTTAATTTATTAATTGATTTGATATATAAATATATAATTTATATAATTAATTTTTTATTTGATTTCATCTTATTAAAATTTTAAAGAGCTTTCAAAATTTAAATATAAATTAATAATAATTAAAAAGTGAACATTTAAAGTTGTATATTATAATCTTGTAAAAAATAAAAAGTTAAGTTATAATTTGTCTTTAAAAAAAATAATCATTTTATCTAAAATTTATTATTATATTAAAAATTTAAAATATACAAAATTAAAAAGAATTAAATTTTAATTTATATAATTCGAACTAACAAATTGAATCAAATTATTAACAAACTTAAACAAAAGCAAGTTTGAACTAGAAGAAAAAAATATGTCAAACCAAAGTATAAATTTAACAAAATATTATCCAATTAAGTTAAACTTTATTTAAGTTTGGCTCATACTGAGTCATTTTTAATCCTATATTAACACGTTTTATGAAATTAACATTGTATTATTTTCAATTTTACATTGTGTACTATCCGTACTGCGAAGTCGAGCTCCGAGCTCGGCACCACAACGCCAGCTGACCTCGGACGCGCACCGCGTGGCATCAGCTCGGCATTTGAGTGAATCATAACTGATTCCCGAGGATCTCGTCCCAGACGAGGTCCGTTATCTAATCACACTATATCTTATCTCAGGCCCAAGGTCCAAGGCCCTAAATCACACCAAGGTACGTGCATTATATATACGAGACTAATACTCACACAGACACTAACTTTAGTATCGGAGTCTCTTTTGCAAGTACCACCCCCATCTTGGAACACGAACGTACCAGTAAAGGAGGCTCACCGATCTTACCTGGCGGATCAGCTCTACAGCAGATTTCTGGTAAGAACATTTGGCGCCCACCGTGGGACCGATCGAGACAAGCTTTTATCGGCCACGCTTATGGTTCGCACCAGAAGCCATAGTAGACGCGCAACAGAAGACGCAAATCATACGACTACCATGGATAGCGAAGGACGTTAAGGAGGCTGATCGATCAGGTCGAACAGATGCGGCAGCAACACGCCGCCGATCTACAAAACATGCGTGCCCAGCACGACACTGATCTAGCGGCAATGCGTACCGCTAATGAAGCCAACCTGGCAGTACTGCGCGCCGAGAACGAGCGTATTCGCGCTCAACTCTCTCGACATCACTCTGATCACCCTCCTCATGAGAGCAGCCACCACGAGGAAGAAGAACATTCAGTCTCTCAACCTCGGACTGCGACCAAGGCACCAACTCAACGACCTGCCACGCATCGGTCTCACGCACCGACGCACAAGTCAGTCGATGAAATCAGCAAGGCCCCTACTTATGCCGCAGGGGATTAGGCAACCTTCCGCCGCCATCCTTTTTGTGGACGACATTATGGAGACACCACTCCCTCACGGGTGGAAACCTCTCCACCTCGACCGCTACGATGGCACGACGGACCCGGATGAGCACATCGACCTGTACACAACACAGGTAAATCTTTACACCAACAACGATGCTATCTTGTGTAGGGTGTTTCCGACCTCACTTAAGGGGGCCGCGCTCAACTGGTACACCCAACTGCCTGCCGAGTCCATCGACAGCTTCGGCACCCTGGTCCGGAGGTTCACCGCGCAATATGCGACGAGCCGACCTCACCATGTCACTTCAGCCGCCCTGGCCAGCCTCAGGAAAAACGACGACGAACCACTCCGTGCATTCATGGAACGATTCGCTGCCACCTCGATCAAGATCAGAAACCTGAACCCCGAGGTCGCCCTACATGCCATGCTCATGGCGCTCAAACTTGGGCCATTCGTCGACAGCCTGTGTCGTGAGTCTCCCCACGACATGGACGAGCTCCGCGCCCGCGCTGCAGGTTTTATCCAGATGGAGGAACACTCTGCCTTCCGTGACTAGGTTCGCGAAAAAGGACCAGCAAAGCCAGAGCAGGGGCACAACGATAAGATCAAAGTCAACAATGACAGCCAGTTCAAGAAGTCGGCTAGGGAAAACAGAGGGGGGAGGTATGAT